CTGCCCGCAGCGCCGCCTTGTCTCCTGCGCCAGGAAAGCCCGCCTGCTCCTCTTCCAGTTCTCCCAGCACCTCGAGCTCTGGAGACTGGGCTCCACCGAAGGGACCGGTGAGTTGTGAGACCCAGCTCTGGTGTGAGCCCTGTGCCTGCAGGATTTTGGGCAGGAAGGGTCCTGGGATGGTTGGGGAAGGGTTTGGGTGCACCCTTGGGATTCCCAGGTGCTCGACAGGACCCACACTGTTTTCCCCAGCATCATTGTCATTTCTTCTTGTCCCAGGAAAGGACGGCGAGGTCCTTCCCCTGTGCCGCATGCCCGAGCACCTCCTGCAGCTCAAGAGCAAGGTAGGGCTGAGCTGGGGCTGGGGTCCACCCCGGTGCCTGCCCGGCCGCAGGAGGGGGCTCGGCAGCCTCTAATGCCTGTGCTGCGTGTCCCAGGCTGCAGGGGGACGTGGTGGTCCCTGCTCAGCCCCTCTGCATTTCCAGGGTCCAGAGCACATCTACTGCAGCTGCGTCTCGCCCTGTGGCAGCTGGGTTGCCTACTCCACCGCCTCCCGCTTCCTCCTCTACCGGGTACAACACGAGGGCAACAGCATCAGCGTCAGGAAGGTGAGGAGGGTGATGGGCTGCCCCACTGCTGGGGAGGGTCGGTGGGTGGCTGTGGGGTCCCAGGAGGCTGGCATGGCCAGTGTTGCTGATGCTGGCAGCAGAAGGTGGCTGCCAGAGCTGCTAGAGCTGCTTTCTCCTCCCTTCAAGGTCCCCAAAGTGCCCAAGCTGCTGCTCCCAGCCTTCCAGCTCCAATTCTCCTCCGACTCCGGCAAAAAAAAACCATTTCTCCCCCGCCTCGGGCTGCCTCTTCGTCGCCTCTGCTCGAGGCTCCGTCCACGTCCTCCAGCTGCTGGAGCCGGGGGGCTGCAAGCACCTGCACACATTACGGCCACCCTCAGGTTTGGGCTTGGGGGCTGTTGGGGGGCTCCTTGGGCTGCAGTTTCTGTTCCTATTCCTGCCCTGGGGTGTGCGGGTCCTTGTCACCCAGCACCCTCTGCCATGGGCTGATGCAGGCAGGGGAGGCGGAAGCACAGAGTAATGGGGATGTGGGTCTGGTTGTTCCCTGGAGTTGGGTCTGGGGATCCCCATGCCTCCCAAAGCCCCAACACCCATTACAGTGGGTGAGGCTGTTTCCACAGGGACCCCTGAGGCCGTTTACCTGCTGGCACCGAGCACTGACGGGCGCTGGGTGGCTGCGGTTAGCGGGGACTGGGTAATCCACGTCTACAACCTGAAGTGCTCCAAGGTAGGGGCAGATCCCAGGGTTACAGCGCCGTGGGGGCTGGGTGGGCTTGAAGTCCCCTCCCAGCAGCGATGGCTGCGTCCTGGGGGTGAGGGCAAGGGGTGGAGGTCGCTTCCCTCAGCGTGGTGTCCTCCTGCCTCACAGCATCACTGCACGGTGCCCAGCTACAGCTGCGCGGTGAGCGCCATCGCCATCCACCCCGTCACCAACAACCTGGTTATTGCCTACGCCGACCAGCAGGTACGAGCTGTCCTGGTCACAGGAGACCCCCGTGGCCTTGAGGCTTTCTGGCCTTCGCTGTCCCTGCCCCGAGCCCGTCCCCATGCAGTGCTTGGGGCCTGGCTTGGATGCGGATGCTGTGGGGAGGACCAGACCTCACGAGCTGCCCCATCTCCTCTGCAGCTATTTGAGTTCAGCATCCCTGAGAAGCAGTACACGGCCTGGAGCCGCACGGTGCAGAACTGCGGGCTGCACAAGGGCTGGCTGGAGAGAGACTCTCCCATCACCCACATCGCCTTCAACCCCAAGAACCCCTCGCACATCCTCCTCCACGACCTCTACATGTTCTGCATCCTCGACAAATCCCTGGTGAGCCCATGGGGCCGCGCTAGGGGGCTGGGTTTGTGCCCGGGGTATCTCCGTGTCTCCGCTGGGTGCGGTGCAGAGGTGGTGGTGGTGGTCCCAGCAGCCACACGCGCTCTTCTTGCAGCCCCTGCCAGACAACAACACCCTCCTGATGAACCAGAGCACCCTGAAGCAGCTCCCAGAGACGGCCAGGCAGCGGCAGCTCCACGCCTTCAAGATCTGCAAGAAGTTCCAGGTGGGTGACGGGGTTGAGGAGGGGGCCCTGTGTCCCCCAGCTGCTCTTGTGCCCAATGCTCCCAGTGCCACACCAGTGCCCACGCAGCAGAGCAGAGCTCAGTCTCAGTCCCTGTCCTTGCTGTGAGCTCTGATTGTGCCAGGCAACGCCCCTGCTTGTGGCTAAGCTGGAGCCGGCCAAGTTTGGGAAACTGAGGCAGAGTGGGGAGCCGTTGCTGTGCTCTCACCTCCTGCCTCTGCCCCTGCTCTTTGCGGATCTGCTGGACGGGAACCGCCTGGTGATGGTGGAGCGGCCCATCATGGATGTCAAGACCCAGCTCCCCCTCCCCGTCCAACAGAAGAAATTTGGCACCTGAGCGAGCCGAAAAACCCGTCCCAAAACCTCTCGTGTGGCGCTTTCCTACGGTGCTGTCGCAATAAACCCCGTTGTTCTTTATGGGCTTGGGCCTCTTCCTTGTCCTGTGGGGCTCCTTGATGTTGGAGCAGCCCAAAGCTGTGGCCACACCCC